GGTCTGCCGTAAACGTCAATTTGTAATGAGTTGGGATTAGCCTCTAAGTTCTAACTGACCCTTCTTCAACTGTTGCTGTGCTCTGTTATCAGCTAGACATGAATCATACGGTGGTTGTCAGAGGTGCCTTTACTTTAGGAAGTATTCAACTTCATCTGATGCGTCCTTTGCAATTCAGCTTAGCCCTCAGTTGCAAATAAGGATGATACCCCCCGCCCCCCACACACACACACACACCCCACGTGAAAAAATCTAGGTGCTGTAAAGAGTAATTAATGTTTAACATGTTTAGTTATGTTAAATAAAGATTTCTTGCTTACAAACGGTGGAAAAAAGCATGATAGTTTGATAGGGAAGGCAAGAGAAATTAAATCAAAACTTGAAGAAACCTGTACCGGAAGAAGACGAGCTTATTAAAGGCTTTGAAATAATCAAACACAATGTATAAGTAAACTATAACAAATTGTTTTATCATGAGGTACATTAAATTTAGTCTATTCAGCTCAACATAATATACCATTCTTATTATAACATTCATAATATTATACGACTGATGTATTTAACTAAATTACGTCAGAACTGCAGCATGTCAGGACTTGACATGGCTCACTGTATTTTTGGTTGTTTTCATTTAGTTGTTTTATAAATCAATACAACAAACGTCTCGAGTTCGAAGTATACTTAATAATGAGATATTTGCATTGCCTTATAACATATCAAGAGGCTTCAGGTGTCTGTTAATTCGCATTTTGGCTCAAAACTGAAATTGTATACAGGCGAAGCTTTAACTTTAAATATCTATCAAAATATTCCCACTCAGGAATATTTGAGCATGCAGGTACATTAATCAGTTTAAATATAATTAGAACACAATGAAAACAGTATTTAGAACTAGAAGTACTGACTAACCTGCTATAGATAACTGATCAAAAACCTTCTCAATCAGTCTCATTCCACGCCAAAACACATTTGATGAAGTCAAGTGTTCCTATACTATTGACAGTGTGCATTAGGCGGTTTAGTCTTCTCAAATTACATTGTTTTAAAAGTCAATAGACCTCCAGTGAATAATTTTGTCTGGATGGCTGATGCACCGACGTAAATTCTGATAAAGGGTGGAAAGGAGCTCTACTGTCTGCATAAATGAGTTCATATACATGATGACCCCCAATTTAAAGGTTTTGCCTGGAAGTGAGTTCAAATATTTTTTCTACACTTTGAAATAATATGTAATTTAAGTTTAGTCATTGTGCAAACATCATCATTGTGCAAACATCATCAAACATCCGGCAGAATCGATTAAAATACTTTTAACCAGATTTTACAGAGACAAATTTTGTTTTGACAACTTATATTTGCCGGATAAGCCAGGCGAAGATGCAGCCATTTAGCTCATTTTTATTACTTGTGTCCTATTTTGTTTACACAATACTAAAAGATGATAAGAAATCAATCTGAAATTTTGCACTACAACCTTCCGGAAAGAACGTTGGACATATAGCCAGCCTAGTTTTCGTGATTGAGATGTTGGTTTTAGAGTCATCTATGCATGGGAACGTACCGAAGGGGCCGACGAATTTTTTCTGCTGGTGCTGGAAATTGTTGATGAATTTTAAAGGTATTTTTCTTCGTTTTCCTCTTTTCACGATATTTTCTTATATATTTTCCTTTGCTGACTTTTTTTGTCCCCCCCCCCATCACTTTTCTAATGGTCCGCCCCTAATTATATAAATGATTTTGACCTCGATTTTAACATGTTATAATAACTGTATAGTTTTGGAAAAGATAAAGGGCTCTAATGCTCTATAAAGGCTGTATAGCGGGAGGCTGTATGGCGAAGGATTACTACTTTCTTGAAGGGTGTAATAGTATTACGTCTTATCAGTTCTATCAATGCGTTGGAAAAACGTGCATGCCGAATATTCTTGACGTCAGTCCGTGTTCCAAGTGTGCATGGCCCCCATGGCATGGGGCTTGATTTACTTTTCACAATTCGTCATTTGTTATGTTTTTATTGGGAAGTCGACAGACACGGTACACTAAAGAGTAATTTAACCCCCACTGCAGTTCAAGTTGTGTTTTGCTTATGATTATATCGTTCAAAATAATTGTAATAATATACTGATATAACTTGACAACGACCAATGTTTGCTTAAACGGCAAATGGTTTGCTTCAGGCATTTTATACAACCATACTCCAAATATCATGCATGGTAAACAGATCACATGTATGAGCTGTCACAAGGCAAGGAGCATATATTATTTGCTGCATATGCATGTTTCAAAATAAACAAATTATAATTGACCCAGTTAGCTGTGCTTACGTTAGAAGTGCTTACGTCACGCAATTTTCAATCCATCTAAAGATTCTAAACATTAGGTATACGCAATGCATTGTGAGATATATGGGGTGAAATATTCATTGCTGACAATGACGTGACGTGCGGACTTATAAGGTCAATTACGCCATAGGGTGCGACACGCAAAAACGACTTTGAGGTGCAAAACGTCCATCTGATCTAGCCTGCGAACGTACAGGCTCTCTTACACTCTCTTTGAAATTCAAAGAGCCTGTTCGCAGGCTACATCTGATCCGGTTTTGGAAACGCGTTTTATCACCCTTCATTGTTTCGCCTTTTACCCTTTTTTCGTGTTGTATCGTTTCGCCCCTTTTTGGCGCTTTATCCGCTTTGTATATAACGTTATTCCTGAAATTTGACTTCGTTCATGAAAACGAAATTGAACCGGTGCAGTAATTAATTTAAAAATATTCAACGTTTGATTATTTTTGTCAGCAGGAGAGATTAAGAATAGGATTAGGAAGCTATAAAAATGTTTTCTTTTTATTAGGCAAACAAAGATATTCGCTACGACTAAAACATCTGTTCTTCATATGGATGGAAATTATCAAATAAAAATATATTCGTCATGAATTAACATTCGCCGATTCAGTACGTGCAGGTCAATCCCTACTTTATACCTGGTTTAACTTATAATTTAAGTGCGTATATACATTCTGTCTTCACCAATTTACAACATGATAAATAGGACAAATTGATTGTCAAATTATTTGATATACAAACTAAATCAAATTCATGCAGCCAATGGCGGCCACGATATTCAAAAATGTGTGTGGGAGTTTTTGAGCACAGAAGGCCCGGGAACAGCAGAGCAGGCTCGACCAGGAAAAGTTTGAAATGTAGAGAAGATAATTCGAAGCTTATACGAGGTTTATTCTAAGCTTAAATATTTCCACTAATTTTCTCAGGTTCTGTATTGCTGGCTACTGATCTCATTCGGCCACTACAAATAGCCCCCCTCCCCTCCCCGCTCCAGTTTGTCATCCGATTTGGACGAATTAGAAAATTACTGCATGCATGCATGCATGCATTTTGGATAATAACAATATCTGTTTACTCAATTTTCAGATGACCGTTGTGTATAAGATCTATAAGCTATCTGTAAAACTGAGAAGACAGTCCCATGCAGCTTCAATGACATTGACTCTCATGAATAAACTTAGAGATTTCTGGGCATCTCGTTCGATAGATCTGATAGTATAGATGGGTTTTCCGTACGTATAGATGGAATTTTCGAACGCAAATTTATGAACGCAGATTCTATCTACGGGACACCCATCTACTGACTACTGTGTTCTATCGAACGAAATACAAAAAAATCTCAACATTCACCAGTGCACGTGAACCTTCCATGCCATCAGTCCATCATATATACATGAGTTTGGGGAGATCAGCTGCACTGGGATCGCAGGGCCGCAGGTTCCTGCCAAAGGGCCTATAGTTATACAACCTACCTTAATTGTAGTTTATCTGGTTTGGATAGTCGATCAGGATTAGACCTTCATAATCATATGTCCACTCTGAGCAGTTTCACACACGTATTCCGAATATTTTAAATTTTTATTTCCGTACTTATATAATATGAATGCTATGCATGGTTCAAAAGGCATTAATCCAGTTTGCGTAATATTGTTTAGCACTGGCGCCAGAGCATTAACATACGCACGAGGCTAAGCCTAATGATTGATTATCAACTTAAGACACCTGCTGAGGCGTTCTACGATCAGCATGGAACTCTGTTGCATGTATAGATTGCGTAAGCCTGTAATGAGGAGAGGCCCGGGCTCAGGTGTGGCTTGTCTTACTCTGTTAAAACCTCCTATAGTTATAAATTTCACATCCTTTTACGGAGATAAATCAGTAACTAATCTTCTAAATGTTTCGATTCCGAATTCTATCTCAATCCGTCGGGGAGCGTTCTACGCAAGTTGCCATCTCTTAGGATCCATAATGATCCCACCAGGAGACCCTCTCACCTATCCGGGGCTATCCCCCCTCCCGAGGTCCACTCACGCATATTCTGGACCTGATTGGCTGATCACCTAATCGACTAGCCTACTCTCAACCATCTAAAGTATTTAGCAATACTGTTACGATAAAAGATAAAGAAAAATATCTTAATATCTGTGTTTGTTGAATGCAAAGAATGTGAAGACAGCAAATGTTAGATCTACATTGATGATGGTAACACAACTTTCAGATATGGGGCTACGCGAGGGGCTGCGCACGCATGTGTTTATCAGTCAGAATATTAGTTCTTGTACGCAATGACAATGTCCATGATATTACAGTGTAATTTAAACCATGCATAACTTGTAGGTAGCAAAGAACACAATATGCAACTATACCTGGCTGAAAAATAAGAAGAATCAACGTTTTCAGCGAATGCCTTTCGTCTGGAAGAAGGCCGTACAACTGTACAAAGTTTGTTCTTATTTTTTCAGCTGGTTGCATCCGAAATCTGCATAGTTTAACCTTCTTTTACACATGGTTGAGTGTCGTCCTTTCCTCTAGAGACATATAATATAGTCGTGGTAGTACAGAAAGAATGCAAACAAAATTTAAATTTTAATTGTTTAAAGAGACCATTAACTCTGTAATACAGTGCTTGCCGCCACCGAGGCTACCACAACCTCAGTACTGAACTACACCGCGATATGATTAAATTATAACCACAGTCTGCAATAGTATATATATAATTCATACTGCACAGATTACAGTTGATTGAATATTAATTATCAAAACTTTTGAGAAAGAGTTTTAATTATATTATACAAACTATACTATGTCTATACTCAAGTTCGACTACGTTCTCAGATTTACTCTCGCATCAAGATAAATACTGAGTAACGTACGTTTATAATTTTGTGACGTTGTGATGTTTTAATAATATGTTTAAGTGAAACTTCCACGGATTTTATGACATATTGCACAATATACCAAAGGCAAGAAAATCACCTTCCTGACAATTTAAATTCTTCTGTTTTAAGATAAGCAACTTACTTACGTAGGCTATATACTTGAACTTAAAGTACATTCCATGCATGCACGTTGTAATATAAAATTTGGATCAAATTCACTAAAGACTTAAAACTAGGAAATATTGTTGTGGAAACATTTGTGATTCTCGGTGGAAACTCAAATGTTTCCCTGTTTGCCCACCCGTGGAAACATTGTTGCGGAAACAAAATTTGCTTCCCGAGATTCGAGAAGCAAAAATGTTTTCTAGCAAATTCAGAAACATTTGATGTTTCCCTATGTTTCTCAGTAAATTCTCACTAATGTTTCCTAGTGTTTGCCCACTCTGGGAAACATGGCGAAACATTGGCAGGAAACAATGTTTCTGCAACAATATTTCCTAGTTTGCCCAGGGGCCGGTTGTTCAAAGGTGGGTTAGCGCTAACCCCCGGTTAAAATTGAACCCACTGTTTTGGTTTGTGTATTTCTACACGTCTGTTTATTTCAAAACTTCAGAGAAGTGAACTCCTGTCGACCCAGACAAGATTTCTGAAGAAATATTTTCAAATTTATAGACAAGCTGTTGGGAAGTTTGCTTTGAATTTTAGGTTAACCTGCAGGGGGTTAAGCTGATCGACTTTCGAACAACCGGCCCCAGGGCTTTAGGATATAGTGATGTTGCACCAGCTCTGGTTACATTTTCTGGGTATACAGGCTGCGTGTAAAACTAAAATAGTAAATTAACTAAAACTGCAAACGCTTCTGCGAATGGAGGGCTGTGGTACAAGAGTCCAATCATATATTTGAGTGAAAATGGTTTTCAGACACAATACATCGGAAAATCTTCAGGATTTGTTGGAGCGGTCAGAGGGATTTGTTGGAACGTGCATATACGCTACTGAGGAACGATAAATATGAAATCCGGCAAAAATTGCATTCTTGCTCAGTTCCGGCTACAGGTTAGTCATATGGAAGCGAGCGACCGACCCAGGAACCCGCCCCGGCTACATGTATGGCTGGTCATAGATAGACTGTAGAATATTTACATTGTTCCATATCCTTGCGACAAATGCAAGTTATTGAGAATATTTGCAACAGGGACACACATAATATCTGGCTTAAAGAAGAGATCTTCAATAATTTTCTTATGAACACGACCAATACACGCCCCAGCAAGAAGAATTCTTCCAAAACGAACACCATCACTTGCTTGATCAAGTGTATCTTCGTATTGACGTAACATCTCTTGCATTCTGTCTTGAAGTTGTTCTATTTTCACCACATCTTGCAATCCTCGAACAACTAAAAGAGTAAACCAGTTTCATGCTCTTACCACATGCTAGTCTGCAAGAAACAATGACGCTAATATATAACTACAACATATATTATTAAAAATTTGTTGAAGGATTTTTATAGATGTCAATTCGAAGAAAAGTTGCTTCACAATTTTACCAGTTGATTTGAGGATTCTTTCGAATGGGACGATAAAAATTTCGTGTCATGTCACCTTTACACATGTATACAATTTTCTCTCGAAAATTCAAATGTTCATCTACAGAAATTACCTTTAACAGTCCGGATGGGGGAATTCGGGCGGGTTGAAACTGCTAATACAAACCCCTTTGAGCTGCAGTATTAGTCTCACATGGCCTCCTGCGGATCTCTATGCATACATGTGCCATATGTGCCAATTCGCAATGCAAATTATGTTTTTATGAAATTTATTGGCTCATCATCGGCTTGCATTGTCCTGTGGGACATCGCATATCTGTTTGACGTCATTATAAGAGGTGTTTATTGTTTGACTTTATTATATCCTTTGTTCTTATTTGACCTTGACATGTGAAAATTAGTACATGCCCATGCATGCATGTATATATTTACCATGAACGATCATGAGACAACTTGTTTTGAATGAAAATATTGGCTACCGCCATCACTTCAGTTGCAATTACGCAACTATACAGCAGATGGTTTGTAATATATATAATTTCGCCGTTCAGAGAATTAATTGATATAGCCTTCGGAGGGAACTAATGTCAGGGGCGTAGCATGTCCCAAACGAGTGAGCGGGGGTCTAATCGTTGAATACGCAGAACAACTAGGGGGGTTCCCACCGGGCACACGACGTTGTTTCAACGTTGAAATTTGGTAGAAAAAAAGTTGCGACGTGGACAACGTAATATCTACGTTACTCTGACGTTGTTTTACAAACATTGGTTCAACAGCAGCCAACAGACATTGAATTAACGTTCAGTTCATGGTTAAATGTACGACGTTGATTTGTGAACCAATCTCAACGTTGTTTTAACGTGGATTCAACGTTGAATTATGGTTGACGAGATTCAGGAGATTGGCAACCTAATTTCAACGTTGTTTCAACGTCGAAACACTAACGTCGATTCAATTTGCATAGTCAACCCTTTTTCAACGTCTATCCAACGTCTGGAAGGTCATTTCCAACGTTGATTCAACGTTGGATAAACGTCATTTTGCCCGCTGGGTTCAGTGGGTTGGTCGTCCAGGGACATGGTCCCTTGGAAAAATTTCTATTTTCAGGGTCTGCGAAACGCTATTTCACACATTTTAGAAATATTTTATGACAATCTCAAAGATTTGATATATTTTATGCCATAGATGAAAACATTAAGAGGCTACACCCCGCACCACCTAGAGTTTCTCAGTTTTGAAAGAATTACAAAGTTGGACCTGAAGAAAAGTGGAGGATTCCGGATCCCTCGATCAATTCCCCCCGCAGCTACGTCTCTGACTAATGTTGCAATTGTGTTTACAAAAACAAAAGTCATAACAATCGCAGAAAAACCAACAATGAGGGTTTTTGTACGGATCTCTCGATGAGAGACAAAATAGGATGGTTCAACTTTTATTACTGAGTCCCGAAACATTGGAAAATTCTACCACGGTAAACTTTACCGGTGTGAATTATAATAACTTAATTAATATTCCCTTGCCTCAATCGTTAAGAAACCAAAATGATGCTGACGCAACGCCAAAGAAACTAACTTGTCTTAGATTTGCTTGTGTTAATGCTTGGTCTCTAAGAAACAAAACAGCAGATGTTGTTGACCATGTTGTGAATTCTAATCATTGACATTTGTGTTTTTACTGAAACCTGGCTGAAAGATGCTGACTCTGTTACGATTGCAGCTCTTTCTCCTAATGGTTACTGTTTTCAAAATTCGCCCAGAGAAAATGATAGATCAGGCGGGGGAGTTGGAGTTATGCACTGAGAGTATAATGAGAACTAAGTTAATGGACGCTAATCAGTTCAGATCGTTTGAATTTTCTGAGTGGAATGTATAACGATTCAAAATCAAGTTATTAAACTTGTTGGTGTGTATCGTCCGCCATCCTCTACTAACTATCCTCAACCCGTGAGTTTGTTTTTTGAGGAATTTTCTACTTAGCCTACCTTGAAAGTATTGTAATATCAACTGAGAGGTTACTTATTTCAGGCGATTTTAATTTCCACGTTGAATCTACTGACGATACTAATGCTAAAAGATTTTGTGAGCTTTTGGGAACATTTGGTTTAACCCAACATGTGGCCTTTCCAACTCATATTTAGGACATACTCTAGATCTTATAATATATAGATCAATTAATGATGTGATTATAACTGAATTAGAATCTACGTTGGCTTTATCTGATCATTCGTTCATCGAGTGTAATTTGTATATGCCTAAGCCAAATTTTGTTGTTAAGGAACTTCGATTCCGTCAGCTGAAAAGAATAGACATTCCCATGTTCAAAAATGATATTTCCGGGTCTGAATTATATGTGTCAATTCCTTTTCGGATATTGATGAGTTTACACGTTGTTATGATACGACTTTGTTAAATCTTCTTGATAAACACGCTCCTATTAAGACGAAAAAGATGGTTATGAAACCTGTTGTATCTTGGTTCACTGTTGATCTTAAAAAGCTTAAAGCTGAACGACGGAAATGCGAAAGAAAAATGCTTCAATCTGGTTGTTCCCATGATAAAGAACTTTATTATAAGACTAGAGATAAATGCAGTGCCCTTCTTCGTAAAACAAAGACTAGCTATTATTCTGATTTAATTGACAAATGCTCAGGCAATTCTAAGAAATTGTTTCGTGTTATCAATTCATTGTCCAAACAGAAGTCAGCTGAATGTTTACTTATGAGGATCCGTTGATTCTGGCGAACGAATTTGGAACATTAATTTTTCGGTCGAAAGATTGAACTTATCAATGACGAAATTAATAAGATTGGTACGTGTTAATCCGATAACTACTGAACATTGCTTAAATCCTTTTCTCCTGTGTCGCAAGTAGATCCCCGTCTTAAGAAACTTGGTATGGATTTAGTGTTTGAAAATTTTAGACCTGTTAATAATCTTCATTTTCTTGCAAAGGTAGCTGAGAAAGTTGTCATGTCGCAATTAGTTAATCACTGCAACGAAAATGCACCACTGCCTGTCAGTCAATCAGCATATCGTCAGTTCCATTCAACTGAAACTGCGCTGCTTTTAAAGTGCAGAATGACATACTTATTAATATGGACAACCAAGAGGTTACGTTGCTTGTTATGCTTGACATGAGTGCTGCCTTTGACACTATAGACCATAATATTCTTATTGATATCCTCAAGAATGATTTTGGAGTAGTGGACAGCGCAGTGGTTTAGATCGTATCTGGCTAATCGAAAGCAGCAAGTTGTCATTGATCGGTGTAAGTCCTCCGAGTTTATGGTTGCTACTGGAGTTCCCCAATGCAGCTGCCTGGGTCCTGTTCTATTTTTACATTACGTGTCTGGCCTTTCTGAGATTATTTCTAAACATCTGCCTTGTCATCATGCTTCAGTTTGCAGATGACACACAATTGTATCTTTCTTTTAAACCTCAGAACTCATTGCATCAGGAGTCAGCTGTTAAAGCAATTTCTAAACATCTGCCTTGTCATCATGCTTTTGCAGATGACACACAATTGTATCTTTCTTTTAAACCTCAGAACTCATTGCATCAGGAGTCAGCTGTTAAAGCAATGCATGGAAGATTGTATTTGATGAGCTTCGAAACTCGATGACTGCACATCGTCTTTTTATTCAAAGTAGCAAGACAGAATTTATTATTATTGGCTCTCGTCAGCAATTATCCAAGGTATCGATTGACAAATTGTGGGTAGGAGAAGTATTGATTTCTCCGGTAGGCGCTGTTCGTGATCTTGGGTCTTGGTTAGATACTCACACGTCCATGAATTTGCATATTAGCAAAATCTGCAGCAAGGCCTTTCGAAGACTTTACCATATCAAACAAATCAGGAAATACTTAACTGACGATGCTACCAAAATTTTAGTTCATGCATTTATTACATCCCATTTGGATTATTGCAATTCTTTGCTGTATGGAATTCCAAAATATCAATTAAATCGATTGCAGAAAGTGCTAAACGCTGCTGCTCGTGTTATATGTCTCGTACCTAAGTTTGATCATATTACACCTACCGGTGTCACAGGAAATTTGGCCACCCCCGAAAATTTGGCCCCCCCGGGCCAAATTTCCTTGGAAATTTGGCCCCCCCCCCGGGCCATATTTCCTAGGAAATTTGGCCCCCCCTTCGGAAATTTGGCCCCCTCGAAAACATAGTTTACTTTATCCCTAAGCTCGGAAATCGTGAAGCTTCTTCTAAAACCAAGATCCTAAAAGTGTTTGTCAGTATTTATAGTTAGTTTGCATAATTTATTTGTGTCGAAATTCGTCATTGCGGCCAAGAGCTAAAAGTTTGAAGGAAAGCGTAAAAATAATAATGTGCTAGTGCAGTCATGCCAGACACATCACACATGGGTATCTGTTGAGGACAACGTTAAAGCATAATGGCTTAGCTTTAAGCTAAGGACACAAAACGATTTTTAGAGATAGGAATTTCTAAGATATTACAAGTTATTTGGATCTATAAATTTAGTCACATAGCATAAAATTAGTCAGAATAACAACCGCACTTTTATAGCAAACGATGACATCATGCGTTGGCGAATATGTTAATATCCACACGTCTAATAAATAACAGGGAGTAATTAGCATTAGTATAGGGTAAAAATAGACTTTTAAGTCGAAACGTTTGTTCGAAAAACAAAATCAAATGTGTGGTTATTTCGTAAAAAAAACTTTTCCTATGCATTTTACTTACATATACACAATATGTAATGCATCGTACTGTAACAGTGGTAGGAACACTAAAACATTTGCATCCGATCTGTATCTGATATACAAACTCTCCACGCCTTCGGCTCGAGTTTGTATATCAGATACAGCAGGGGCGTAGGAAGCACCTGGAGTTTGGGGGGGCACCGGCTTGTAGGGGCACATTACTATCGGAAAGGGCACCTAAAAAATTTTTCCCGGAAATGTTGTCGACGGGGGGGGGGAGAAATTTCTCCTGAGGAAAATTTTCCGTCGTATCATACCGAAATTTATGTTTGTGACCTAATTTTTTAAAAAAAATTTGTAAATTTCCACACAAAAACGGCACCTATTGTTTTAATTTAGTATTTACAGCGACATTAGCTTCTACAAAAGGGGCACTTTTCCTCACAAAAAAGGGCACTTTTCAACACAAAAAGGGCACTTTTTATCACAAAAAAGGGCACTTTTAGTCCTTTAAAAAAATTTGGGGGGGCACGTGCCCCCCGTGCCCCCCCCGCTTCCTACGCCCCTGAGATACAGATCGGCTGCTCATGTTTTATCTAGTACATAAAGGAAACGATTTTTAGCTCTTGGCCGCAATGAAGAATTTCGACACAAATAAATTATGCAAACTAACTATAAATACTGACAAACACTTTAATTTAGGATCTTGGTTTTAGAAGAAGCTTCACGATTTCCGAGCTTATAGCGATAAAGTAAACTATGTTTTCGAGGGGGCCAAATTTCCGAAGGGGGGGCCAAATTTCCTAGGAAATATGGCAGGGGGGCCAAATTTCCTAGGAAATTTGGCCCGGGGGGGCCAAATTTTGGGGGGGCCAAATTTCCTGGGACACCGGCATTAATGAGACTGCATTGGTTACCGGTTAAATACCGTGTTATATTCAAGATCGTACTGTTGGTTTATAAAGCTCTACATGGATTGGCTCCCAAATATATTCGTGACATGTTGACTTATAAACAAAGTAATAACTACTCTTCGAGATCGGACGAAGTAGGGCTTCTTCATGTTCCAAGCGCACGTAGAAAGTCTTTTGGTGATCGTGCCTTTTTGAAAGCAGGACCTACTCTATATATGGAACTTAGTACCGTGTGAGATTCGGCTTTCACCTTCGTTGGATTCTTTTAAGACAAATCTTAAGACATTTTTGTATAGAGATGCGTACATTCAATAAAACTTCTTGTTTTTAAATATTTTTAAATAGATGCTTATAGTAGTTAAATGTTGTGTAAATAACGTAGGGAAATTTTAAAATTAGCTTCCTGTTTCATGTAATTAAGCGCTTTAGAATATTCTATAGTTTTAGCGCAGTACAAATTAATAAATTATTATTATTATATACATAGACGGCACAAATATACATCTACGCACCATACACTTTTACACTGTACTCAGTTAAATAATGCATTTGGAGCTTACCTGGCTTTAAGAAATAAATGACTTTAAGAAAGAGATATTCGACAAGATCCAGTTCAAGTGAATGAAGACGTTCTAATGCTACTTT